CAGACCGACGAAGCCTCTTGGATGAGGGGCGAAACGTTTCTTTTTAATATATTCTATAGTTTATTCACCAAATCCATTCAGTTTGTCAGAATGCTCTTTCCCTTCAAACTTTGACCGACATCAACTGTTCCTAGAAGTTTCTGCTTTGCTTTGTCAGAAGCAACCTCACTGACGTCCAGCAAGATGCAGCTGGTTCCAGTGGATGAAATGACAAAACACAGCTTGAACTTAACTCACGGTGGCAGAAATATCAGCAGTCTATGTTTAAACTCGAATAAGAACTCTGTGTAGAGCAGCAGCTCTGTGATTACTGCAGCTACACTACATTACATGCAGAGGTGGAGAACCTAAAGGTGTCAAAAACATCTGTAAGATAATAACACTGCAGGAATCATCAAAAAAGGCTTAAAGGAACACTTACTGTTCACTTTAGTATTCTAATTATGCTTCTTCAAAGTCTTTTCCCAATCAATGTGTCAATCAAGCGCAGCTCTGAAAGCCTCCATTCGTCGGAGCGATGCTTCAAGGCGTTTGGGCATTAAGTGGGAGTGCTTGTGTGTTTATTGATACACGCAGGAGATGCGTCGTCACCACATTGTTGAACCCTGGAAGTTCAACCGTTAGAGAAATGGAGGTAAAAAGCAAAGCTGGATGATTATTTCTGTTACGAACAGAGAGAGGGTGTGTTCAGTTCGTGTGTGTGTTCTCCAGTGTGCAGCTGCAGTGGTGATGTCTGGTACTTTCCACATCCAGCGCTGATAAATTATTCACAGATGAACGTCCGAGGTTGTTTTCTAATTTCTTTTAGCGTGTGTGTTTTAGATATACGTCGGTTTTATTATCACATCACACCCAAGTCTCTGGTTTCTGTTATGTCCTGAACCACTTAATTTGTAATCTAAATTACTTCATAAATTATGAGCTGTGAGAAGTCCAGATGTTCAACGGTTATGGACATAACTTCTCTGCTTTGAGGAAACTCTCTGCACAAAATGATTTGATGACTCGTATATCGTGGTATAAAGAGTCACAATGAGGTCAAAAGTAAAAAAAGTGACTTAAAATTGCAGATATGACCCAATAATAATTTTTGTACAAGCTTTAAAATCTTGATCTTTTAGCCCAATTCAAACAAAATATCAACTTTGTCTAGGTAAACATTTGTCCCTTAATTTAAATGCTTTTTTCACTTAACAGAAAATATGTATTTTTATCAAATCTAAATGTTTCCTTACTATTCTCCTCGATTTGATGAATTATTTATTGGGTTTTCCTGAAATGCAAAACAAAACAAAAAAAAAATCTGTTAATTTTTGCTTTTTAAGTTTAAGTGCAAGCATGGTGGGTAAGTTAGTGGAGTTGTTGCCTCTCAGCAAGAAGGTTGCTGGATTGAATTCAAACATTCACCTAGAAAGGCCAGGGGCCTTTCTAGGTGAATGTTTGAATGTTTTCTCCGAGTACTCCAGTTTCCTCCCACAGACCAAAAACATGCATGTTAGGCTGATTGGTAACTCTAAATTGTACCTAGTTGTGAGTGAGAGAATGGTTGTTTGTCTTTATGTGTCCCTGTGATGGACTGAAGACCTGTCCAGGGTGTCCTCCGCCTCTCACACAGTGACTGCTGGATATGGGCACCAGTGACCCCCGTGACCCGGAAAGGAAGAAGTGGGTAAAAGGTAATGGATGGAATTTGCCTTGCATTTGGTCATAATCTTGTGTTCTGTTTTCTTTATACATACACACACACACACATATATATATATATATATATATATATATATATATATATATATATGGTTTTCTTGTTGAGTTTTGAACTCAAGGGCACAGAACCAATATTAGTTTAAACTTGTTTTTTGAAAGTACAGTACAGTAGTAGTCCCTCGCAACTTTGTGGTTTGACTTTCGCGGACTCGCTCTTTTTTCAAAGTAAGAGTGGACATGACACACAGTTGGCTGATTGATGGATGAGCCACACAAGCGGCATGGATTGTTTATAAAAAATAAAAAAAAAGATTTAGCACCTGCTGCACCATGTGTGCAACCCACAGGTGCAGAGAGAAGCTCCCTCTGCAGCCTGTCATGATCTCCGCTCTCGGCCACCTGCGGCTCTCGGCCACGCCCACATTTCTCCTCCTGCTGCAGAAGCTTCGTGAAGGGTTAACCTTTTGCTGTCCAAATGCACTAATCAACTTTTGTTTTCAACTTAAAATTCAAAGCATGCCACATCATAAAATTGTCATAATCAC